AAAGGTGTGGTAGAAACCGAGCTTCTGGAGGTTGGGTGCATCATCGAGAACGAATGGCGGCTGGTGGCCCAGTACCCCGTGCGGGCGGGCGCCGGCCGGACGGTGATGGACAGGGTGCGCCCCCTCCGCCTTATGCTGCTGCTAGCCGGCGCTCCTCCAAGAGGGCGCAGGGCATTGGATGCTGGAATGTTTGTATTCTTTTTTGCGAACTGGACGTGGACGCTGCTGGCGCTGTTACAGTATCTGGTTCTGGGCTCGCAAAGTGCACCTCTCTTCTGGAAGAGCTCTCTCGCTTCGGCGTCGGCTGTTGTGCGTTCAGCGAGCATCGCTGGGCTGGTCGCGGGGAGTTCTCTCTCGATGATTGGACGGTGTTGTACTGCGGGCCGCCAGATGGAGGTCGCCACGGCGTCGGCTTTGCCATGAACGGAGAGTGGTCACGTTATTGGAGGGAGGGAGGATCGGAGGTGGAATTTGTCTCTTCTCGTGTTCTACGTGTTCGTCTCCTCCCTCATCGCTCTGCTGTCCACGTGTCCTTCATCTCCGTCTACGCTCCTGCTTTTGCTTCTCCTGCTGCTGAACATGATTCTTTTTATTCTGATTTAGAGAGTGCTATCCAATCTACGCCTGCGTCAGATGTGCTGTACGTGTTGGGAGACTTCAATGCGCGTGTGGGGTCCTCTGTTGCGGTGCCATACGTCTTCGACCCGGTGGGGCTGCACGGTCCAGGGCAGGTGAACGAAGCTGGCCAACGTCTCGTGGAGTTCTGCACTGACCATTCCCTCATTGTTGCCGACGCATTCTTTCACTCGGCTGGAAGGGGGACATGGTTTCACGCTCCGAGTCGACGTTGGTGCAGCGTAGATCATATTATTACTCGTGCTCGGGATCGTCGTTCTGTCATATCGAGTATACCACTTATTGCTGCTGAGTGTGACACCGATCATCGTCTTGTTCGGGCTCGTCTTCGCCTTCCTCCTAAGCATCGTTTTCATCATCGCGCTCGGCTGTCTCGGTGGACTCGCCCTAGCAAAGTAGATGTGAAAAAGCTCTAGGGGAAGGAGGTGAGGGAGGCTTACAACAAGGAGGTGGCGAACAAATTGGTCGATGCGGAAGTCGGGGAGGTCGCGGGGGAGTTTTTCTCGGAGGTTTTGTTCGAGGCGGCCCAAAACACAGCGGGGGCTATCTTGCCGTCCAGAAGGCCGGATTGGCAGATTGACAACGCAGAGGAGTTCCAGAAACTCTCTGATGAACGTCGCGCTGCTTTTCAGCGTTATGTTTCTCGGCCGGGGGATGCTGCAGCACGAGGTGCTTATCGTGCTTCCTGCAAGCGCACTAGGGTGCGTACTCGCCAAATGCTCAACGAATGGTGGTCTGCTGCGGCTGAGGACGTTGAACAACAGACGCAAGGTCGTGCCCGGCCAGAGCTGTGGATGGGAGTCAAGCGTCTACGGCGTGCTCTCTTTCCTGCTTCTAAATATGTCGTCATCCACAGTCGCACGGGGACGGTGTTGCACTCGTCAGGGGCACGGCGCGCACGTTGGTCGGAGCACTTCAAGGATACATGGAATGTACCCACGAACGTCACGCACGCCACGCTTTCCCAACTACCGGAGCATCCCCCAGATCTAGCTCTAGACGTTCCTCCTGAGCTGTCCGAGGTGGGGACTGCTTTCAAGGCTCTAAAGACGGGTAAGGCTGGTGGGGCGGATGGTGTTACGGCAGAGTTATTAAAGGCTTTGGACGAGTTTTCCGTGGAGGCTCTAGCTACGGTGTTTCAGAGCGTCTGGGGGGCCCCACCTACGGCTTGGAGGGGTGCTCTTATCGTGCCTTTGTACAAGGGGAAGAAGGCCAGGGAGGATTGCGACAACTACCGGGGTATCTCGCTGCTTAGCGTGGTGGGCAAGGTTTTCACACGTATTCTAGCTATTCGTTTATCGTCTTGGGCGGAATCTCGGGGATATCTTCCTGAAGAGCATTTCGGCTATCGTAAGAACAGGGGCGCGCTAGACCTCGTCGCCCTCTTGCGTTGCACAATCGACTCGTACGGGGAGGCGGACAAGGAGATCCACGTTGCCTTTGTCGATCTTAAGAAGGCTTTCGATAGCGTGAACCGCCCGGCGCTGTACGAAGTACAACGTCGCTTCGGAGTTCCACCTCGTATGCTGGATTCTATTCGGGGTCTTCACGATGGCCTGCAAGCACGTATTCTCTCCGAGGGCGAAATTGGAGACGCTTTCGACGTGTCTTCTGGTGTTCGCCAAGGGTGTTGCCTGGCTCCGATCCTGTTCGCCTTGTACTTCTCCGTTGTCATTGACATTTGGAAAACATCACGCCCAGAGCGTCTACGATTGCATTCTTGCATTGATGGTCGTCTTCGCCGCTCGTTCACCGGTGGCTCGTTCCCTTCGAACGTCACGGCCGCGTCGCTGCTGGGCGCCCAGTTCGCCGACGACTTGGCGGTCATGGCAGAGTCCTCCGGGGACCTTGCTGCATTGGTGGTCTCTCTGAACCAGCACTTTACGCAGTGGGGCCTCACGATGACCTCGAAGACGGAGCTGTTGTCCTTCGGCGCGCCCACGCAGAGCATCGACGTCGGCCCCTTCGTCGTTGACGAGGCGAATGACCTTCAGAGCGGTGGCACGGGCGCCGGCGTGGGCAACTTCAAGTACGTAGGCAGCACCTTCTCTCGGGACTCGACAATCGACCGGGAGATCTCTCTGCGGATCCGGTCGTGCTGGGCGGCCTTCGGCAAGCACAAGCAGTGTGCCTGGCGGGTCAAGCAGCTGAACAGGCGTGTCAAGGGCAAGCTGTGGCTCGCGGGCGTGGCCCCGGCGGCCCTGTGCCGTCTGGGCGCCCTCCCTCTCGCTCCTCGGCATATTCGCCGTCTGGAGCGCACGCAGTATAGCATGGCGCGCGCGATTCTTGGCATTTCCCGGCAGCGGCAACACGACCGGCGCATTTCTGACCGGGATTTATGTCAAATGTTGGGGGTTCCGAACATGCGGGGCCTGTGCGTCTCCGAGGTGTTGCGGCGCGCCGGGCACGTGGCCAGGCTCTCCAACGACCGGCTGCCGAAGCTCGCGCTGTTCAGCTGGCGCCCTGACCGTGCCCAGTCTACGCACTCCGCCCGTGGCACTTTCATCACTTACCGGCGCACTCTGGCTTGGGCTCTCAAGGAGCGTAGGGTGCCTCTCGAGAGCTGGATGTTTCTCGCCCAGGACAAGGGCCACTGGCGCAAGGACACCGTCCGGAGCACGGCTGGCTTCTCTGGCGGTCTCGCGACGCCGCCGGCTGCTCCAGCTGGTCAGGAGGAGGCAGCCTGTCCCGAGTGCGCCTGGGTCGGTACCAAGAACGGTTTGCCTGTGCACTTCCGCCGGAAGCACAAGGACACGTCTGGGCTCAGCTGGGATGCCTGGTGTGACCTTCACAACATCGTGCGTCGGCCCACTGCTCGCCGGCGGGACGTGGCGCCTGTCGCTGTTGCTGCCTTTCCGGGAGGCCGCTTTCATTGCAGGGAGCCGGGTTGCGACGCGGCGTTTGGGTCACGAGCTCAGCTGCGGGCACATGCTCTGTCGCGCCGAGATCGGGTCAACCTGCCCGTCACGTGTCCTCACTGCGGACATGAATGTCGCGGGGCTGCCGGTCTGTCCAAACACATGCAGCTGGTTCATCCTGACGGTACTTTCCGTGCTGAAGCTCATGAATGCGTCTGCGGCCGCAGCTTCAAGACGCCGGCGTGGCTCACCAGGCATCGTGCTGTGTGCCCGGCTGTTCAGGGACAACCTGGGGGAGGTGGTGGTGGGGGCGGCGGCGGAGGAGGAGAAGGAGGCTGAGGTCATGCACATCGTTATTGTTCCTCTTCTTCCACTGCATTATCTACATCATCGCGTTCATGCTGCTCTTCTTCACCATCACTATCAGCATTATCTACTTCATCTACACCATCGCGTTCTTGCTGCTCTTCTTCTTCACCTGCACTATCATCATTATCTACTTCATCATGTTCATCTGCACTGTACTGTTCTCACTCGTCTACATTCCTTTCGCAATGTATGTGCATGCGCAATGGGGTTCTTCGTATGTGTGTAACCACAGCAGTATTTCATCATCGCGTGCACTTTCTTGTTCCTGCTGCTGCTCTCCTTTTTCATCATATCTGCACTGCGTTGCGTGGCACGAGCAAGGCGGGCTGGGACCCCGTGCGGGCGCCCACCTGGGTGCGACGAGGGGGGGCCGGACCCCGTGCGGGCGCGCTCCCTCCCCCGCGTCGGGCGAGATCCATGTTCGGCCAACTCCCGCAGGCGGGTGCTCCCAGTGCCGGTGCTGCCGGCGGCTCAGCGGGGCGGCCGGCCCAGCGGAGGCGGCGCCTCGACGCGGCTGGTGGTGATGATGCGGCCGCTGCCGCTGCTGCTGCTGCACAGGGCGCCCAGGGGGCTCCGGGCTCGCGGGTGCTCAATCAGGTCCGTGCCGGCCTGGACAAGCACGACGTCGCGCTGTCCATCGTCATGTATCTGCCGGAGGCCCACCACAAGCAGGTGGAGGAGCACGCCCAGGCATGGCAGGATCTTCGCGACGACGCCCAGGGCCCGCATCCGTGGCACTGCAGCAAGGGCGACGCCCGCTTCCAGCGCATGATGCAGCTGATTGGCCAGGACGTGCAGCAGGGCGTGCTGAAGCTGACGGCTCCGGGGGGCGGCGGCTCGATTGCTCCTGGCTTCGTCACCCCTGACGCGTTGCTGGGCGAGATTAAGAAGGCTCCGGCCACCGGCGTGGCCGCTGTGGTGGAGATCATGAAGGGCCGCCGGGACATTCACAAGTGTCCGTATCGGTTGATCTTGGCTGCCAGTGCTTGGGGCTCTCTCTTCCGCGATTTTCTTTTCTGTCTGAAGGACGAGAGGGATGTGCCCGGCGGGGAGGCGCGCCCGGACTGCTGGTCCATCCGCCGCTGGAGGCGCCTGAACAAGGGCAAGGGGAAGGGCGAGGGCGACAACGGCAAGTAGCCGGCTTCTTCTCCATAGTGTACATTGTCCACATCTGCGGCTTCCTCTCCATAGTCTACATTTTCGGCTTCTTCTCCATAGTCTACATCGCCGACTTCTTCTCCATAGTCTACATCGTCGGCACCTCCGGCTTCTTCTCCATAGTCTACATTGTCCGCATCTGCGGCTTCGTCTCCATATAGTCCACATTTTCGGCTTCTTCTCCATAGTCTACATCGCCGGCATCTGCTCCATAGTCTACGCAGTCGGCATCTCCGGCTTTTCCATAGGCTACATCTCCGGCATTTTCGCCATTGGCTTCTTCTTCGTAGTCTACATCTCCGGCGGCCCGCCGTGGGCATGCTGGTGCGTGCTCCCGCCGGCGGCCTCTTGTTCTCCGATTGCCGCGTGGACATCGTTATCTACATGTGCTTTCTCACCCACACCGGCATCTTGTGGCTCGCGGGGAGGGCGAATCTACACGGGTATCTGGATGTACGTTTTCGTCCTCCTCCTTCTTCCCCTTGTACGTACACTTGCACTTGCACATTGTCACTGTTGTCACTGTTGCTGAACATGGTTTTCGCTTTCATCGTCATACTGTTTCACTAAGTACCCGGCTCGTGCTATGCTTGTTTCATCATTTGGTGGCGGGGGTCGCTCCGACCTGGCCGGCTACTTCGTGCGCCTTTACGGCGCGCTCGACTTCGGGCACATGCCGTTCCTGTTCCTGTTCCTGAGTCAGTGTCCTCAGGGATGCTTCTTGGGGTCTCTTCGGAGCGCTCTCGGGGTCTCTTGGGAGTTTCTTGGGGGCCTGTCGGGGGCGCCTTTTGGGGCTTTCCGGGCGCATCTTGGGTTTTTTTGGGGGCGTCTTGGGGGCTTCTTGGTGCTTCCTGGGAGCCTCTCAGGCCGAGGGCTCGAAATCTCCGTTCGGGTCCCCCGTCTGGGCACTCTCTTGGAGCCGTCTTGGGGGCATCTTGGGCCGTCTCGGAGGCCTCTTGGGCCATCTTGGGGGCCTCTTGGATCGTTTTAGGGCCCTCACGGAGGCCTCTTGGCCTACTTTGGTGCGATCTTGAGCCGTCTAGGAGTGTCGGGAAGCCGAAAAAGGCGAGAATCCGAAACTTTATCAAAACCCTTACGAAGTCAATCATTCTTGCTTCTTGGGGCCCTCTTGGGAGTGCTTTTAGATGCCTCTTGGGGCGTCTTGGAAACCTCTTGGTCCGTCTGGAGGCTACTGTGGCGTCTTGGACCGATCGTTTGACGATTCGGGGCCCTCTTGGAACGTCTTGGGTGTCGTCTTGGGGCGTTGGGGCGTTGGGAACCCATGGGGGGCGGGGGGGGCATTCTGACCCGGGACTCCCGATCGGGTGTCCCCCGGGAACCCCCCCTGGTCTCTCCCGGGACTCCCCCCCGGGACCCCCCCCGGCCCCCCCCGCCCCCCGGCGGGGAAAGGATCAGGGGAAGGGGCTTCCCTTCGAATGAATTACGACGTTTGCTATTGTCGATTGGGTAAGAGGGGCAACGGCTGGCGCTATGGAGAAGGGGACCCAGGAGAAAGCTTGGAATGGCGGCGGCAACGACGACGACGAGGAGACGACGAATGAAACAGCGAAGAGTGAAAGAGAATCTGTTACACGCCGACAAGGTCGACGGATTATTCTTATTATGATTATGATGATCATAATTATTAATATTATTATTCGTATTTTTATTCGTCGTAGCAGTAGTAGAAATAGTAGTAGTAGTAGTAGTAGTAGTAGTAGTAGAAGAAGTAGGAGTACCAGTAGTAGTAGTAGTAGTAGTAGTAGTAGTAGTAGTAGTAGTAGTAGTAGTAGTAGTAGTAGTAGTAGTAGTAGTAGTAGTAGTAGTAGTAGTAGTCGTAGTAGTAGTAGTAGTAGTAGTAGTAGTAGTAGTAGTAGTAGTAGTAGTAGTAGTAGTAGTAGTAGTAGTAGTAGTAGTAGTAGTAGTAGTAGTTGTAGTAGTAGTAGTAGTAGTAGTAGTAGCAGTAGTAGTCGTAGCAGCAGTAGTAGTAGTAGTAATAGTGGTAGTAGAAGTTGAAGTAGTAATCCCAGTAGCAGTTGCAGTAGCTGTAGCAGTCGTACTATTGGTGTGAGTAGTTTCAGTGAGGATAGTAGGCCAGGCGGGTCGATCTCTCTTTCTTGAGCCGTTTCTTTTAATATACCATCATACCATCGCCCCCCCCCCCCCCGGTGCACATAAGAGTGGTGGCGTGGGGGGGTGGGTGGTCAGCAGTCTGCGAGGCTCGAAAGAGAGTTTGAGGAAGCCCGCCGCAGGCGTCCATTCTCTACACCCACTCGACGAGCCCGCCGCAGGCGCAGATTTTTGTTTAAACAGTTTAAGCAATATGGGTGGGTTGCGGATGGATCGCGGGAGGGTCGCGGGCGGGTCGCGGGCGGGTCGTGGGTGGGTCGCCGGTGGGTCGCGGGTAGGTCGCGGTTGGGTCGCGGGCGGGTCGACGACGACAAGAACAATCACAACAACCACTATGGCAATTCGCTCCAGGGAAGCCCACTTCAGCAACGCACCCAGGTACAGTGTAAGCCGGTTCGACCCCTTCATGTAAACGTATGTATACAGATGCACATTTGTATAAACAAATCAGCAGATTGATGTGCACACTCACTCTTTGTCTCTTCTTTCTTTCTTTCTTTCTTCCTCTCTGTCTCACTCTCCCTGTTTGCCCCCGTCTGTTTGCTCTATCTCAATTTTTCTCTCTCTCTCTCTCTCTCTCTCACTCTCTCTCTCTCTTTCTCTCGCCCAAAGTGTCCTCAGGAACACATGTGGGTTGCCCCGAAGTTGTTCCGTACTCGTATCCCCACATGGCTCCAAGAAAGGCTCCTGGGGCGCCCAAAAGGTTTCAAATATCTCACAATAGCCGCCAAGAAACCCAAACACCTCCCGGGGGGCCCAACATGGCTTCTTGCACGGCCTCAAGACAGTTCTAATCAGCCTAAGGACGCCCCAGGCCCCCCAAAGCGAGGCCACGATGTCCTAAGGGACTCCAAGAGGTCCCCCCAAAAGACCCCAACAAAGCCCAGAACCGCCCCCACCAGCACAGACATGGGATGCCCCAGGACAGCACAAAAGCGCACGCACATTCTTCCGTATTCACTCTGTCTCAAGCCGCATCGTCAAGCTGACCGCCGGCAGGGGATGCAGCAGTGGCCTCCGCACGGCTCGCCCAGTCCCGGAATGCCGTCCTCGGGCTCCAGCAGCGGCAACGCTGAGCTGACGGCCCGCCTGCTGCACAAGACGCGACTGTGCAGCTGGTACGCGCAGGGCCAGTGTGGCTGGGGGGGGAACTGCGGCTTCGCGCACGGGATCGACGAGCTGCGCGTGGCCCCGGACTTCTCGCACACGCGGCAGTGCAGGAGCTTCGTGAAGACCGGGCAGTGCGGGCAGGGCGAGGCGTGCAAGTTCGCCCACGCGCGGGGGCAGCTGCAGCCCTGGGCGGGCCGCGGCGCGCAGCACGACGTGCGCGGTGGCCGGCGCGAGCTGCAGCCGGGCGCGCCTGAGCGCGCGGGCGACTCGCCGAGGCCCGCCCTGCTCGAGCGGAGCCAGCGGCGCCAGCCCCACGCCGCCCCCGACGGCCGCCTGGAGGCCGCCATCCCCGCCTCGCGCCCGCGAGAGGTGCCCACGCCGAGGCCGAGGGCCACCCAGAGCGACCCGGAGCAGCCGCAGCACAGGGCCACCTGGGCCTCCAGCCCGGCGGTTCGGCCGCAGGAGCCGCAGCCGCAGCCGCAGCGCAAGGTCCTGGTGGCTGCCCTCCCGGCCCCTCGCTTGCGAGAGCTGCTCGCGCTCCGTGGGCACGAGCCCGCGCCCTCGCACCTGAGGGCCACCGTCAAGGGCACGTTCCTGCACTTCTTCACGGTGGGGGAGGAGGGCGAGTTCCGCTGCCAGCGTCGCTGCTCCTCGACTCCGCCAGCCATCCAGACGCACTGAAGGCAGCCCAGCGGCGCGGTCTTTCTGGATGGTTCAAGCCTGAAGATGCGCGTGCACACATCAGCGTGCACATCAGCTGCGGCGCTCTTCCTGCTTAGTTTGAGATGTCAGCAACGCCTCTCGCGCGAGCGCTGGACCCTGCTTTGAGAAGAGGGGTCAAGCTGCTTCTGGTCGTGGCGTCGAGGGGACTCCCGCAAGGACTAGAGCTGGAGGAGGAGCGGGTAAGGGACAGGGGGAGGAGGGATCTTCTCCTCCGTGAAGAGGTCTTCAGGGGTGCCGGGAGCTTTCCTGGAGGCTGAGTCGGGCAGGTCCGGCTCCCGTGGACCTTTGGACGGGCGCGGGCGGCCTGAGTTGTTCCAGGCCCAGCTCTTCACCCCGTGCTGCCGTCTGTAAGCTCTGATCCTCATTTCGCGGGAGGCCCCCACCGCCTCTGCTTTTTCGGGCAAGGACGATGGTGACGGCGACGACGACGACCCCGACGACGGTGGCAACGACGCCGACGGCGACGATGACTTCGGCGATGATGACGACGCTTGTCTCTCGCGTGGCCACAGCTCCCTGTAGCTCACGCGTTTTTTTTTTTTCGCCCGGCTCGGGATCTTCGCCCGATGTGGCTCCATGCCTTTGCGTGTGTGGGGCTTCGCGCGGTGCTCTGGCGGAACGCCCCCCCCGGACGAGCCGACAGAGGCAATCTGCACGGGCTCGTTCGACTTTGCAGCTCGGCTCGGGACCTTCGGCGTAAACTGGCCCGCAGTCCTGCCGCTGCACACGCTGTGAGCCTCGCGCGGCTTGCTTCACACCAGGCCAGCTGTGCTGACCTGCCCAGGCCTTTCCGATGCGCTGGCCACAACGTTTTTTTTCAAGGCACGAGTCGAGCGCGTGTGTCGCCGCGCGCTGTCGTGGTGTCGGCGTCGGGCGCTTGGGCGCGCCGAGGGCACACGGCGCGGCGACCAGTGCCGCAGGGCGAGCCTGGCTCGCCTCTTGAATGCCCTGCGCGCTGAGAGGTCGAAGACCGCCTCTGGCGCTGCCTCTCCTGCCCCCCACCCCGCCCTTGCCCT